TTTTCTGGTGCTTTTGGTTGTTTATTGATTTCAGATTGGTTGTTATCCTCCTTACGGTTGGTGAGGAAGCCAAGGGTCTCTATTTATGCCTCCATCTTGGCCAGAACTCTTGTATCTCACCTATGGGTTTTGATTGTAGCAATTCTTTCACTGTCATCCACTTCTAGATATTTGTTTATTTCCATTGTGATTTCCTTTTTCAAATTTAAAGTACATTCACTGATTTTAGAGTGAGAGAAAGGAGGATAGCGAGGGAAACATCGATGTGAGCAAGAAACATTGATTGGTTGCCTCCTATATTCATCTCAGTCCAAGATGAACCCACAACCTAGGTATGTGCCCTGATCAGGAGTCAAACAGCCTAACTTTTGGTATATGGGACAATGCTCCAACCAACTGAGCCACAGCAGCCAGGGCTTTATTGAGATTTTCTGTTTACCCATGAACTTTAGGGAGCATTTTTAACTTCTCAAGAGTAAAAAAAGTTTTATAGATTCTTTTCTTTTTATTGAATTCTACTTTAATTTCATTTTGTCAGGAAACATGGGCTGATTGATAGCCTGAAATTTATTGTAACTTTCTTTAGACATAGTATTTGGTCACTTTTTGCAAATACTATAGATGTATCTGAATACAAAACATTTTCTCAATTTGTTTTGTGTACAATCTAGATTTTACCCTATCTATTGAATTGTTTTTATCCCAATGACCATACAGGGTCTGTCCAGAAGATATCCAGCCATGTAATATGAATTATTGAAGAAGATACAAGAATCATTGTACATAGGTTAATGACACCTCAGTCCCCTTCAAAGTAGGTACCTTGGGACCTCATACAGTTCTCCCAATTGCCATCAGCTGTCCCGTTGTATTTTCCTGACTCTCATCCACAGTCTAGAATCTCTTTCCTTTGGAAGGTGATTTTAATTTTGGGAAAAAACAGAAGTTGAAGGACCAAATCTGGGCTACAGAGGGGCTGAGTCACCTGGGTGATTTGCTGTTTTACCAAAAATCTCTGCACCAAACCTGATGCATGAGTGGGTGTGTTGTGATGAAGCTGCCAATCACCAGTTGCCCATAGCTGTGGGCTTCTGAATCATCTGAATAGTTTCCATGAAGGAATGTTCAAGCTTAATGCAAAATTTGATGCAGATTCATTGCTCTACTCTCTCAGTCATTTTGAATGTGACAACAACCCAGTACACATGCTCATTCAATGGCATCTACCACCCCCATTGATTTGTACAATGAAGTTATCATTGTTTACGTGTGCACATTTCAGTCTACTCTTCTTAGTTGCTGGGTTACATCGATGTCACACAAACCATTCTTGTTATATTGACAATTGCTGGGCTTTTTCCAAAGACCTCATATATATATAAATATATATGTATATACATATGTACGTGTGTGCATGTGTATGTGTGTATACATATAAAATTGTTGTTCAAGTACAGTTGTCTCCATTTTAACCCCATCATACCACCCCATGCCACCCATTCCCACCTCCGCACCCTCAAACCTATCCCCTTTGGCTTTGTCCATGTGTCCTTTATACATGTTCCTTGATGGCCCTTCCCCTATTTTCCCTCTCCCCCCTTCTCTCTGGTTGCTGTTAGTTTGTTCTTTATTTCAATGTCTCTGGTTATATTTTGGTCAATTGTTGATTTTGTTGATTAGGTTCCACTAGGTGAGATCATGTGGTATCTGTCTTTTACTGCCTGGCTTATTGCACCTAACATAATGCTCTCCAACAGTTCCATCCATGCTGTCATGAAGGGTGGGAGCTCCTTCTTTCTTTCTGTTACATGGCATTCCATTGTGTACATGTACCACAATTTTTTGATCCACTCATTTACTGATGGGCACTTAGGTTGCTTCTAGCACATGGCTGTTGTAAATTGTGCTACTATGAATATTGGGGTGCATAGGTTCTTTTGAATTGGCTTTTCAGGATTCTTAGGGTATAATCCCAGCAGTGGAATTGCTGGAGACCTCAGGTATTTTAAAATATTTTTTTATTTTTAAATTACAGTTGACATATGGTATTTTATTAGTTTCAAGAATATAACATAGTTATTAGACATTTATATAATTTATGATCACCCCAATAAGTCTAGTATCTGTCTGACACCATACATACTTATTATAATATTATTGACTATATTTCCTATGACAACAGCTATGTATTTTTATTTCTGTGATTTCTAATTGATCTTTTCTATTTAACTCTTATCTTGTATTTCTATATTTGTTTCATCATTTTTGGTCTCTTTTTTTGGTAATCCATGGTTCCATCATAGCTCCTTGTGTGTCCTAAGAATACTTGAAGTATTTATTATACTATATCCTAAATAATCTGAAACAAATTTATATTCTGATTGTTGAATTTGAGTTTTTTTCTGAAAATTTTTTTGTATGTTTGGTATTCCTATTTGCAGATACAACATTTTTTTGTTGTTGTTGCCCTTTTGTTTCTTTCTCTCCCTCTATGCTTGTTCCATCAGTAGTTTGGGGGTTTTCTTACTTAGGCCAGAGGCCCTAGTTTAGGATCAGGTCTCATAATATGGTATTTTAGATTTCCTGTTGTGTTATGCTATCAGGGAAGATCAATAGGCTGCTTGGTCAAACAAGGTTGTATTTGTCTCCTTTTACCTCTTCAGGTCTGTGGTTCCAAATAAGTTACAGCCCCAGTCAGTGTTTGGAAGTAGTTTGTGTTCTTTTTTTTGCATACATCACTAGTTTGAGCTAGAGCTGAGCTAGAGCTGTGAGCCTGGCCCTAGTCCATGCCAGTGACTAGATGCACTGATAGTTCTTTTTACTCCACAGTTGTCCTCCTGTTTACCTCTGCTTTACCTTTTAACTTAGAGCCCATTAGGTCTATGGCTTAACTTGAATTATAGCCTTGTGTTTTCTTATGTTTCTGGTCAGTGAAACTGCTTGTCTTGTTTTGACCTGAATTAATATAATCTCTCTCCCCATCCTTTCCTCTATCATGCAATGTGTTTGGAGCAGAGGGAATGTATTAAAGGGTTATTTACTGAGCTATCTTATTGAAAATTCACTTAGGGTTTTAAAGTAATTCTGTGCAAGGAAAGAAAGAAAGAAAGAAAGAAAGAAAGAAAGAAAATAGAGCATTCAGTTTATAAAGGAGCAATGGAAGGTTGTCTCTGCTTATAAGATCAGATCATTCTCTGCTAGCAAAGCAGAAATGTAGTTATAATTACTGCTTATTCTCCCCAAATAGCCAGGGTCTTTAGCACTACTTTCCTATTATCTAGCATCTTCTACTTTCAGACCTGCTTCCTTCTCTTCACGCCACTTAAAATTCCCTGGAGAGTCATCAGTACTCAGCTCCTTGTCAATTTAGTCATATAATGAAGTATTCAAACTGAATTATAAATGAAGTTTGTGTACTCATTGAGTCCTTAATTTGTCAACATGTGGGATATACTTTGTGCATAAGTGGTGACGGGAGGAAGAGGAGTTGGACTTGACTGCATGTCTATTCTCAGAACCAGACAATGGCCCAGAAAAAGACTCAAGAGCCTCTGAAACGAGGCCAATTGGAATGAGGAGGCAGCAATCATTCTGTCCTAAGATCACCTGCTACAAGGAAGGGCCAACATAGGGAAAAGGGTTTTCTAAAGCAGAGTCAAAACAAGGTGCGTACATATATATGTATTTGTATGTGTGTTTCTGTGTGTGGGTGCACACATGCATGTGCTGATAAACTCCTTCCCTTCAAAATGAATGCAGAAGTACTAATCAACTGGGCTTCCAGTTACCACCTGGAAGTGTAGGAATTACTGATCAGGGACTGGAATTATAAGAACTACATAATTGCTCCATTTCTGTTTTGTTTTCTACAAAGGTTACTGGTGACTCTCTATTTAACAAAAAAAATACCCTAGGGCTTATCTTTAAGAACAGCAAGGGGAGAAGCTGGGCACTGTAGTCCATTCCCTTGTCAGGCTTGGGGAGGAGAAGAATGGACATCAATCAACAGAATAGTAGTGCCAGTTACTAAAGAAATAAAGAACAAAATGAATGTCAAGAACCTTCTGCATGGAAGCTGGTCGGGGTTTGAAAGGGTTATTTAACCATTAAATGTTCTATATGATTGTCAGAACCGTCCCCCTGCCCCCACTTACTTAATCTTACAGAGTATATAAAACATGGTGAAATCCTTCAATTTTGTCCACATATACACTTAGGCTGAAGAAAGACCTTCATCCTCATTGGATCCAGTGAAACATTTGATACCTAAGGAATTAAAAGAGCCACAGGCTTGTCAAGGATCTGATAGAGGCTGTGGCTCTCTTCATAGAAATGTGTAAAAACAAGTTTTGTATAGAATTTCAGAGAGTTTGTGAATGTCTGGTTAAGGTAGCTCCCAGTCTAACAAGAAGCAAATGGATTTAGAAAATATGCTGTAAGGGTTTCAAATTACCAGTTCTCAAAGGTAATGGGACTGCATGGATCCCCCAGAATCCCCCCAGCACCTTTGGGTAATAGGTATTATTTCTATCAGTGTTCACTCCATTACTGGTAATGATCCCTGATTCAGATTCAATAATATTGTCCAAGTACCTCCATCCTGAGTGTACCCACAGACACACATAATGAAATTTCCAAACAGAATTAGATGACATTTTTCTCCATGCATCTCTTTGGTCCATGAGCTCTCTGATGCCCGAAGAGATCTCTGATCCACACACTGCATCTATTGCTAATTTCTTTCATTCATGACCCTAAACACTAATGTTTTCTTATAGAATTTTTTCATAAGTGAGATATCATTACTTTTTTTATGATTATCATACATATTTTGGATCCAACACACACAGAGGACACTTCATCAGCTTTAATGCTGTCTCCTTCAGTAATATGGACATGATATTAGGAGAGTTTTTAAAATAATCTGCACAATCATTTCCAACTCAGTTAGCTTCCCTCCCATCTTTAAGACAGACAGTAGTTGAATTTTCTAATCACCATCACATTTCTGTGTTTGGTAGTTCTGCATTTGGTAGTTTTTCCTCTCCATCACTTGAAGGTCCCATCTCAGACCTTGTCCCTTCATTTTCAGCAGATGATACTGTAGTCACTGGACCAATTCCTAGCCTTGACTTCTCTGTGGGGATCACAGTGACATTTTGATCAAGGGGAGGAGATCTGAAAGTTAAGTAATTGAGGAAGGAGATGATCCCTAGGGGAAGAGAAGAATTTGAGGTGAGTTTCAATAGACATACGGCCTGTTGGCTTTTAAAATTCTTTCTTATCCTTTAAATACTCAGTTCAAAAGGTCTCTTTTCAGTGAAGCCAACCCATGTCTCTCCCAGCACAGTTACTTTACCCTTGTGTACTCCCATTTCATTAGAGTATTTCCCACATGGTTAGGACAAAGCTTGAACCTCCTGGGTTCAAATCATAGATCCACTACTTTCTGTGTGGTCTTAAGCAAGTCATTCAACCTATCTATGGGTCAATTAGTGGCACAGCAGATTACTAATTATAAGTTTTTAGTTTCATACCATAATGCCTCTTAATGTATATATGTTCTAAACAGGAACAGTCAGTGCTTCTATTTCTCCTAGATTCTACCTCTGTTTCAAGAAGTGCTTTCCCCTTCCATCCTTCCAGGATAAGGCAGGACTCACCAGAAAAGATGTATAATAAGTCACTCCACCAATTAAGATAATAGGGCCAGAGGAGATCTGACTCCATGGCATCCCTGGTGTGCCAGTGAACCTGTGCCAGAAATAGGATGAGGCAGAGGAGCAAGCAGATGGCTAGGACCAGAAGAAAAGATGTCACAACCCATCAGTGTCTTCAGTCTGTCTTCACTACCACCCCCACCTCTTCTGCTTCCAGATGCCATATGTATGGCAGGATCAAATTTGGAAATTCACCAAGGTGGGGAAGAAATGGGGGCTTATATCTCTCCCCTAGCAAAAGTCACCTAAAATGTGTTTTATACAATAAGACAGGGTAGGTACCTGGCAACTTGATGTCATATTGAAGAAGAGAAAAGGGGCAAAAAAAGTAGATGAAAGCCCCACAAAGAAAGTCTGTTTCCTTGACAATTTTACCCCAGCATCACCCCACCAGTCTGCATTTGTACCTGAGATGAAGCTGAGCATGGATACCTTCAGATCCAAGTTGGTGGTCCTGCTCCCTCTTCTAGGGAGGCAAGAGCTTAAGAGCCAGCCAAGACCAATTAGTATGGTGAGGACAGAGATTAAGAAGAAGGCCCTGGAATATTGGAGATAATCTGTCAAAGAGAAGGAGAAAGGAAAGACTTGGTTAGTACAGTGGGGAACCTTTCTCAAGAAAACCAGATAGAGTCTGAGAAGGGAGTGAGGACTAAGGAGATGAAGCTGAGCTTGCTATGTGGCATCCAGAAAAACAATAAGGATCTTTTTTCTCAGCTCTTTATTGATACTTGGAATTTCTTTATTATGAAGAAGGCAAAGCTGTCCTTGCAAAACTAAAGATGATATACAAATAGCTCTGGGTTTGTTAACACATTAACTTAGTTGTAAAATAGCTAATAAGAGGTATGAGTTTAACATCATACCATAGATTAAATTTTTTTTGTTCCCAATTCTAATGCTAAAAGTAATAAATGTCCAATATAAGAATTGGAAAGACTACAAAACTACCAAAAAGAAGGAAGAAAATGAGCTATAATCCCACTTCCCAGAGATAACCTTTGACAGTATTTTATTTCTTTCTAGTATTTTCTATCCTCTATGAATAGTAGATATAATACTCAATATCATGTGATTTTTAACTTTATATTATAACAGTTTTCCCAGATTACACTGTAAACATCATTTTAATGGCTACAAAACAGCATGTTATATTTTGTTTAGTGGTTAAACCATAGTTGGAGTTTGTTTCTGTTTTTTTCTCTTTCAAATGTATCTGACATGTATAAGCCTTGTCATCCTGTGACTACAAAATGAAGTTACTTTTAGTTTAACTCCTATTTTGTAATAATTTCATGCTCTCAATTTACTGGATCTCAGGGATTTAACACTCTGGATTTAACACCCAAAATATCTCCCATTCTTTTGAAATTTCCTCAAGATCCTATCTCCTGTTTGTTTAAAGAGAAGTCTGCTAAAGTTCTTTTGCTCCAAAGCCCTTACCCAAGTTCTACACACTCTTCTCCCCTCTCCTTTTGGCTCCAGATCACTGCTCTCTTTGGTTCTGCCATTTGCTTCAAATAGGATGTTGGTAAGAGAGAAGGGGTATGCTAAACCTCACTCTTTGTTACCATATCCCTGATATGGAACAGATCCTTCCTAGCTTCTCAAAAAATGTTTTAAGAAACAGAGGCTAACCTTTCCATCCTAGACCTGGAAGAATGGCTCCCACAAAAAGGATGGCAAGAAGAAGGGCTGTTCTGCCATCATTGAGGTTGTGATCAGAGAATACACCATTAGCATTCACAAGTATAACTAACCATAGAGTGGGTTCTAAGAAGCATGCCTCTTGGGCACTCAGATCTGGAAATTTGCCATGAAGAATATGGGAACACCAGATGTGCACTGTGACACCAACCAGGCTCAACAAAGCTATCTGGGCCACAGGAATAAAGAATGTGCCATACTGTTTTTGAGTGTGGTTGTCTAGAAAATGTAATGAGAATGAAGATACACCAAACAAGCTCTATACGTTGGTTACCTACATACCTGTCACCACTTTAAAAAAACTTACAAACAGTTAATGCAATGAGAAGTAACTTCTGGTTTTTGAATAAAGTTATAAAACTGCAAAAAATGGAAGCTAAGTTACAATTGCAAAATGATATAGCTTTTTTGAGATACCACAGACCCAGAGATTTCTTCAACATCCTTTGCAGGGTGCCTCTTTGTCTAGCTTCTTTCCAGTCTCACTGGAGCAGGGGCCAGTTCATCTCTACCACAGAAAGTTCTCTAAGCACTTCTATGCCTAAGAATCCCAATCCAGCTTCCAAGGAACCCAGAGACACAAAATTATGTATGCAAGATTACCCCACTCTAAGACTGGCCTCTAAAATTTCATTTACTTTTCTAGAATTTACCAGTTACTAACAGCATCAATTATAATGTCCATAAAAAGAAACTATATCCCCAGTCACAGATGTGAGTTGCTCTTCGATTTAGCCACATTTAAACATAATAACCCAAGAGTAGCACATTTTCTAAAAACTGGATCACACAGTATTAGCAGTATATGTAGCCAGTCAGAACCACCAGCCCAAACTAATCTGCATGAAGCTCAGTGACAGGCATCTTTTAAAGTATTTAGCACACAATCTCCCATGGGCCTTAGCAGCCCTTGTTTATAGACTGGGACCCTTACCAATAGCCCCCTGAGTACTGCTAATTGAACTAAGGAAGGGAATCTTACCCTTGGACCAATTTGATTCTTCTGCTTAGAAATTTGGATTTGAGACTGATTAATGCTAATTTCCTCTTTTGCTTGCGTGAACCAAAAATATATAAAGCTAGACTAGGATATTACTTTTGGGTCACTTACATACCAATAAATAGGAAAAACTGAGCTATAAAGGTAAAACAAAGCATAAACAAAATTGGGTGGTACAGCAACTCTAGAGACACTGAGTGACTGGTGGGTTTGATCCAGTCTCCTCTAGAATCCCCTAATGTCCAGCAAATTTTCTGACTTGGGAGTCTATGAGATTCTTCTGAATCCCTATAAATAAGCTTTCCCTTTAGCTTAAGCTAGTTCACATTAGTTCTGATATTTAAAACATAAAGCACACTGTATAAGACATTCAGTTCAACTCCTGTATAAAATATATTACAGTCCAGTCTTATTCTACCTTGAGAGGAAGACTAGGCTTTCATGCTCTCTTACAATTTTTCTATGTCATAACTCCTCATCTCTTGAAAACTAAATAAAGTCACTCACAAATCCAAAGGAAAGATGAAAGATTTCTGCATACAGCAGTCTACCCTCTCAAAGAAGCAAAATCTACTAGTCATAATCATATACCACAAGTTACCTAACCAAACTAAACATTTAGACTCAGAGTCTAAAACAGCTGCATTGGTTTCTTTCATAGTTTTAAAAATTAATCTAACAAAACAAAAACAATGTTCCCAAACCTGAATTTAAACCTCTATCCCCTGTAGAATCAAAACCTACTTCAGCTTTTAAACATCAGTTTTGGTGACTCTCTGGATGCTTTAAGACATTAGCTGGACCTCTTCCAGGTGCAGTGCTAGTAAAAACAAACCTTGGTGTGCAGATTGGTACTTTCAGAACTCATCCAGGCCCAGCAGAAGGAGCCACAAGCTAGAGATCCTAAGATTCCTCAGGGCCACTCACAGGCAGCACCTGACATAGGGTGCACCAGGGTCTTTGAAGATCTACTTAATATATAGAAACAAACACAAAGAGGCAGCCAAAATAGGAAGACAGAGAAACAGGCCCAAAATGAAAGAACCAGAGAATTCTCCAGAAGAAGAGCTAAATGAAATGGAGGCAAGCAATTTATCATATATAGAATTCAAAGTAATAATTATAAGGGTGCTCAATGGCATGAAAAAAAAAGACATAGAAACCATACAAAAGAACCAGTAGAAATAAAGAATGCAATATCTGAAATAAATACTACACTGGAAGAAATAAACAGTAGGTTAGATGAAGCAGAGGATCAAATCAGCAATTCTGAAGATAAAGGAGAAAAAAAAATCCAATCAGACCAACAACAACCAAAAACGAATTAAAAAACCGAAGATAGTTTAAGGGACCTTTGGGACAACGTGAAGTGCAACAACATCCACATCATAATGATACCAGAAGGAGAGGAGTATGAGAAGGGATTGAGAACCTATTTGAAGGAATAATAGCCAAAAATTCTCTAACCTGGTGAAGGAAAAAGACATACAAGTACAGGTAGTGCAGAGAATCTCAAACAAGATGTACCCAAAGAGACCCACACCAAAATTGTCACAATGAAATGATAATGCTTAAAGACAAGGAGAGAATCTTAAAAGCCACAAGAGGAAAGTAGTTAGTTACCTACAAGGGACCTCTCTATAGAATATCATCGGTTGCTCAACAGAAACCTTTCAGGCCAGAAGGGACTGGCATGAAATATTCAATGTGATAAAATGCAAGCACGAACCATCAAGGCTACTTTTTCCCAGCAAGGCTATCATTTAAAATTTAAGGAGAAATAAACAGCTTCCAAGACAAATAAAAACTAAAGGAGTTTGTTACCACAAAACAAGTATTGCAACAAATGTTAAAGGGCTTGCTTTAAGAAGAAGAAAAAAGGAAGATAGTTAAAAAATGAAATGGCAATAAATATGTATCTATCAATAATCACTTTAATGTAAATGGTCTAAATGTTCCAATCAAAAGTAATAGGGTAGCTGAATGGATAAAAAAAACAAGACCCATATATATACTGTTTTCAATAGACTCACCTCAGAACAAAAGGTACACACAAACTAAAAGTAAAGAGATAGGAAAATATATTTCATGGAAAAAGAAAGGAAAAAAAAGCTGGGCTAGCAGTACATACACCTGACAAAGTAGACTTTAAAACTAAGGCTATAGTAATAGACAAAGAATGAGACTACATAATGATAAAGTAAACAATCCAATAAGAGGATATAACCCTAGTAAACATTTATGCACCCAACCATGGAACATCTAAATATGTAAAGCAAGTCTTGATGGACATAAAGGGAGAGAGATTGCTGGAAATAAAGACATAGTAGGGGAAAATAGCCTCTTCAACAAATGGTTTTGGGAGATCTGGACAGTTACAGGCAAAAAAATGAATCTCAACCATGAACTTATACTATACACAAAAATAAACTCAAGACGGATAAAAGACTTATATATAAGTTGCAACACTATAAAAGCCCTAGAGGAGAACATAGGGAGGAAAATCTTAGATATTCCACACAACAATATTTTGATGGATATGTCCCCTAGAGCAAGGACATAAAGGGAAGAATAAAAAAATGGTACTTCATCAAAATAAAAAGTTTCTGCACAGCTAAAGAAAACATCAGCAAAATGAAAAGGGAACCAACTATATGGGAAAATATATTTGCCAATGATACGTTGAACATGGGTTTGATCTGATCCAAAACATATAAAAAACTCACATGACTACACTCCAGGAAAACAAACAACACAATTTAAAAATGGGCAAAGGGGGACTTCTGGCCAAGACAGAGGTGTAGGTAGATACACTTTGCCTTCTCGCGCAACCAAAAGAAGGACAACAACAAA